ACTCGAGGAAAAACACGTTCATCAGAACTTGGGCCGCACAGAAACGGGTGTACACAGTCTGGAAGCCAAAAGATTAAAAATTACTGAAAAATTACTGGACGTGACTGAGAAAATGACTGGATTTAAAAAGATCAGCGACTGGGTCGGGGGTTGAAATTTCTCAATGGATACAAATCACGGGCTATTCCAGAATTTCCATACGGTTTCGAAGTGTTTCAGGGCAATTCATGACTATCTTACCTTGATTTCTCTTGGCTGCAGTCAGGCAGGCAAGTGACTGAAAAAGTGACTGGTCAAAGTGATGTCCCCCCTCAGTTTGGATAAACAGTTTAATGTCGGAAGCACTCAGTCTCTAGTGGGCACCGCATCGTCGGGGGCCTCGAGGCGTCCCCGGGACAGTTCCCGTACCAGGTCGGGATCTTCATCGAGAAGGGTCCCATCATCAAGAGGGGCACGAGCTTCTGCGGCGGCTCGATCCTCAGCGAACGGATCGTCATGACGGCCGCCCACTGCACACCGCAAGTGTCTCCAACAGTTCCGGAATCTTGAAAAGACAGACGAACTGAGTCCCCAACAAAAAATGAATTTCAAAAAATTTCTCGCAGGCGTGATACACTGAAAATCACTGTATACGCCGGAGCGCTTAGCATACGACGTGATGAGTCACCAAAGATCACTGTTGACGCGTTCTACGCCCACGAACGTTTCTCAAAGGATCTGCTCAACGATATCGCCCTTCTGCACTTGAGCTCGCGCTTGGAATTCAGTAAGTTTTAGCTGGAACAAATACTACTACAGCATCTACTACTACTACTGCTACTACTACATGTTCTGACATGTTTCCTTGTAATAGAAATAGTACTAGTACTACTAGTATTAGTACTCCAATTACCAGTACTACTATCACTAGGAAACATGTAAGGAAAAACACAGGGAATACCTTTTTTTTCAGACGATCGTATTCAACCGATAAATTTGCCGCCAAAAGACGTCGGGCCCCTAGCCGGTTTGAAGGTGGTGATGAGCGGCTGGGGGCGTACTTCAACGCGTAGGTGCAGAGTACACCGGGTGTGTGCAAGCTATGCTAAGGGGAAAAAATATTTAAAAAAATATATCTTTTGAAATCTGCAGACGGCGAGCTATCGCCCGTGCTTCGCTACGTCGAGTCAACCGCCTTGACGAATCTAATCTGCCAGGTGCCCTACGCCCTGTTCGCACTCATAGACGAATCCCACCTGTGCGTGTCTGGTTGGTTCATGAAGGGGACATGCATGGTATGTTGCTGCTCTTGCACGGCTGACGACGCTGCAACGGTGCCCTCTACGCTCTTAATACTTACTGCACGTATTGCTGCAGGGGGACTCAGGCGGGCCACTCACGATCAAGAAGGACGGCAAAATCATGGTAGTCGGTATCGTCTCCTTCGGGATCAAGTTCAGCTGTAATGTGTCCTGGCCTCCGGTGTTTACCAGGGTCACCTCCTACCTCGAGTGGATCAAATACTGGTGGGATGAGCTGGAGAAGGGCCACAAAGGGCACGGGGTCAAGTGGCTAGAATAATGATTTGTATGGTACCGGCGTTTTTTTACCTGTGATCAGATTTTAATGTTACGACTATTTCAGTGTTGAATAAAGACGGTCTTTACGGGCTCACGAATAGACGCATTTGGGAAGGGTGTGGTTGTGCTTTGAAGGTGCTACCTTGAAAGTCACGAAACGTCACATTATCTCGAGGCCTGAACTACTCTCTCACCCTTACCTGCGCTCGTCTCCCAACACCCAATGCCGACGACAATAACTCTTCTACACCATAACTCCAACGCCGACTTATTATTAAATAATTGTGTTGCATTGTCACCTCAGTAATAATGAAGGGTATTGATTCTAATAATGTTTCAAGTAACGCCCGAAGTGTTTCTTATGCATAGAAGCTTAAACCGATCTTTTTAAAGCGCGAAGCAAAACAACCAATTTCCTTGTTACCAGTTTTTAATAACTTTCACAGTTAAAGTAATTTTAGCAGCTGGGTGGCTCGTAGTTGCTTGGGCACAGTCCACCAGTCGTCTCCAACAGGAACACCACAAAGGCTATGGCGAGGCAGAAGCCGAGTAGTTGGAGTGCCGGCTGCACCTGGTTTAGCGAGAGCGGCTTTGGCCCCTCCGGCAACTTCGCCCCTCTAAGTCGCCCCCTGCTTCTCAAAGATAGTAGGGATTCCATGGTTAGACCAGCGGCGCGCAAGCGGCCCAGGAACTTCCTCAGCGGCTTCTCGAACGGCGACCCCTCCATGGTGGTGTAGGTGGCCTTGAGCCTGGTCATGGGCAGGCTGAAGGTGTGGAACATGACGGGGCCCCGGGCCGCGCTCGTTCCCTTGTCTTCCTGGTCTCGGAAGAAAGACACGTTGGCATACCGGCTAGCCCAATAGGATGCCACCCGCGTGTCCGCGCTGGTGTCGAGGACCACCCTCGAATCCAGCCCCCATTCCTCCAGCGGGTACGAGTCCAGGTCGTAGGCCTTCCAGAACAGGACGGACAGGTTGCTGTCGACCAGTTCCTGCACGCTGTTGATGTTGGGCCTTGTTCCGACGGCCAGGTCGCTGAGCAGCTGCCCCTGGTAAGCGGCTGACACGACGAGGCTCACCAGCAGCCAGGCGCCGAACAAGGGGCGCTGCCGGCCCCGTGGCGGCCACGCCACGGTCTGGAGGAGCAGCGGCGACAGGACCTGCAGCGCGACGGTGCTGGGGGCGCGGCCGCCTAGCCAGAGCAGGCCCCGGCCCACGACGGCCGCGGCCAGCATCGTGGTGGCCCACAGGTCGGGGGACAGCTCGCTGATAAGGTGGCCGAGTGGGCTCGAGGACGTGCCCAGGCCCGGGGGCACCACGGCCTCGGTGGAGTGCATGTCCCAGGGGAACACGGCCAGGTTGCGGTGCAGGCTGGCGTTGAGCGGCTCCTCCGAGAGGACCAGGTCCAAACGGCAGGACAGCGTACTGCGCATAGCCAGGCCCTCCGAATTGACGGGCAGCACCTTTGCCTTGTATGAAAAGTTGAGATGCTGTCGGCGGTGGAACTCCTTCACGAAGGCGGCCACCAGGACCTCCCAGGGAAGCGAGGGGGGCCGGACGCTAGGAAGGTTATTGGGACGTCGGCCGGGACCAGGGCCAGGACCTCGGCCTGGTCCAGGACCGGGGCCAGGTCCGGGGCCAGGACCGGGGCCAGGACCGGGACCAGGGCCGGGACCAGGACCGGGACCAGGACCGGGACCTCGGCCGGTTGCAGGACCAGGTCCCTGTCCTGGACCAGGGTCAGGATCTCGACCGGGACCAGGACGAGGACCAGGACCGGAATCTGATCCCCCGGGCCTCTGCGCAGGTCTCTGGGGTGGGCGTGGGCGTTGCTCGGGTGTCCAGGCACTAATGAACCTGCCCGGGTTCTTCACTTGGCTCTGCACGATATACACGACGAGCGGGTCGTCTGGCGGCGGCGGGCACCACTGGAGGCACGGCTGATCAAAGGCGGCGCCAGGCTCCCGCGACCAGCCCGTCGACGCGGAGCATGTGCTTACTTCCGTGACGTTGGGGTAGTCCACGTCCCACACACCCCCAAACAGGGCGGTGCTGGTGTTGGCCGTGACGGCCAGGCGCACCTGGTTCGTGGTCATGGGCAGGTTTTCGTCCGCGAGCCTGAGCGCCGTGGCGGCGCCGGCCGCCGCGTCCTCCTGGTCCGCGCGCGTCCACAGCAGGATGTGCGTGCGGACGTGCCGCACCAGGGCCACCCTCGCCTCGCGCACCAGGTCCCCGGGCCGGTCGAACGCCACGAGTACGACGGAGGAGGCGGGCGCCGAGAACGCGGAGCGCACTGTAAGCAGTGGCAGTGGCGTCAGGCACCGTAACTTACTCTGTGAAAACTGCGGCACGAGTGTTCTCGACCGCCTCTCACCCGGCGCGCGGCGCGTGCTCAGGACGGCCGTGCGCGTGCCCCAGCCGCCGAGCAGAGTCCGCAGCCAGGGGGCGTCTCCGTCCACGTGCAGGTCGACGCTGGCGCCGGCCGCGAGGTGCTCGAGCAAGGGCCGCAGGCCGCAGGGCGTTGCCTCGGGCTGGACCTCCACGGGCGGGAGCCGCGCGCCGCACCGCACCCGCACCAGCAGCAGCACCACCGCCGCTAGCCGCGGTAACATCCTTGCCAGAGGGCCATGGAGTTGTGCCGCGGCCGAGAGGTAAAGAACGCGGTGATGTGCCGAACAGTTCGCCTTATAATGCGTCGGAAACGGTTGAAAATTGATGAAATTGCGTGAAAATTTGATGAAAATGCTTGCTAATGCATTAGGATGTCTGTTGATGTCCTAGGATAGTGGTTGAAAATGGATGAAAATTCAAAATGCTTGAAAATGACAAGAATGGGGATGCATGAAATGAATGCATGAAAATACATGAAAATAACTGATGATGTGGTAAGTAATAATAGGGAGTAAACGTTTGTTCGTACAGGTTTTTACCCGTCCCGCGCGGCTGTGCGTTCCACGGACTACCAAGACGGCATCGAGCGCGCAAGTTGTGCGTCGCAACAGCGGGGCGCGGTCGATGTAAAATTAATCGCCTATAATGCTCCGCACTCCGCACATTCGTTAAGGTTAAGCCCACATCCTCCCGCGGCCAAGCCTATGCTGGCGTTTGTTGTTCTTTCAATACGTATTGAGTCCTCGGGACGAGTCGCCGTGCCGTGTCTCGGAACCGAGCCGAGGTGACTAGGGAAAACATCAGGGAACATCGCCCTAGCACTTGCGCGTGGACGGCCGGCAGGGCGGGCCGCCGGCCCCACACAGCTGCTTGGCGGGTTGGCCTACCTAGCGCGTCGCAGGCGTTGTCCATAGTGTGGCCTCGGAACGTCGACGGCGGGAGGCAGCGGAACCTTTATACTCACACATACATTCCCGTGGGGTTTCAAATGAATGGTTTTAAATGCACGTAACTGCCTTTAGGTTAGGTTGGAATGGAATGGGTAGGCTAGCTGCACTTAGACTTGATATTTTCCTGTTACACTAATAACGTACTCGCACACTGTGAAAAAAAAGGAGGAAGGTTTACAGGAAAATTTTCCTTGACGCCAGTTGTAAAATTACAATTTGTAATCGTAAAAATACATGCAGTACGTATCGACTTCAAATCGATTGGCGAGTAAAAAAAAAAGTGCTCTTGTAAATTTACAACTTGAATTATGATTCGCGTTTACAAAAATTTAAACTTGCTTCCTTCACATATTTGCGGTTGGCGACTGTCGTGTGTGTCACTAAGCTTCATTGATCTTCTTAATATTTTAGGTGTTTGTTTACCCCCTAGCTCCCGAACCTAGTATTTCATTAACGAAGTGGGCTCGCCTTAATTAATTGCGTTGAATCTTTTATAATGCGATGGGGAACACGGCCATCCATGAATAATATAAATGTGTACCCACGTTTCTAAATTCTTATTAATGGTCGTATATTTTTACATATATATTTTGCTGCCATTACTAAAAATGCTACAAAATTGGGTAAAACGCCAAATTACTGATCATATTATCCGATTGTATTTTAAAATAACACGGATTAAAGGTGGTAAAATTCGGTGCAGTTGACTTAAAATAATTTCAAGAGTAACTGCAGGAGCTGGTACCACGATTTCATCGTTTCCTTGCACACGTGGAGGTTGAGCGCGCCGACACCCGCCCCAGCCGTCAAGACGAGCGGTCGACCACGCCGTATCTGCATGATTTTGACGTTGGAACGATAACCTTTGTCTAGGACCTGTCGGCAAGAGAGCCGGTGAAGACACTTATATTGAGCCCGTTGGGAAAGGCGCCCCCTGGCAGGGAGGCGCACGACTCTGTCAATTCATTCGCTACTGCACACTAAAATCCTTTGGAGAATTCTTAGCCTGAGTTAAGTGCAAATCCCGTGTATTTGGAATCTGCGGCATGTTCACGATTTTGTACCTGAAGAGTAAATGCTCTATTGTGCAGTTATATGCGGAAATAAAATCTTGCATAGTTCCGCATACACGGATTCACACAGTAATGCAGTTGTATTGTACAATAGCTTAAGTAATATTACGATTTGTGCTTAAATATTTAAACGTACGTTAAAAACTACGTTTAGCTGGCGCTAAAAATTGTGCATTTTTAAAAAAAATTGCTAATTTAGTGTGTAGCTTACCTCCTGCCAGTGTCCGCCGTACAGCTCATCCGAAATTCGCACACAAGCGTCCTACGAGAAAAGCGGCTGTCAGTCAGTGCTTAGCATATTGTGCACACTCTTAAATTCTTACAAAGAAAATTCTTGTATAACAAAGAATTTTGTGCAACCGTAATACAAAGCCAAATTTTCTTTGTAATACAAAGAAAAGTCATTGTAATACAAAGAAGACTTTTGTGTAATACAAGGAAATTTCGGTAATTGTTTACTTGAGTGACTCCTCGCCCTGGAGTCACTCAAGTATACCATCGGAAAGGTATTTTTCAGTAGAATCCTGAACAGTATTT